AACTCACAATCCTCCTGCCTCAGCCTCCTCAACTGGGGGATTACAGGTGTGTGTCACTGCGCCCAGCTACTCCTTTTATTTTATTTTGATATAGGGTCAAACTAAATTGCCTAGGCTAATCTGGAACTTTTGATCCTCCTGCCTCAACTTCCCAAGTAAACTGGGATTATAGGTATGCACTACTGTGCCTGAAAGAAAGTGAGTTTGATAGCATTAATTTTTGATTGTTCAAGTAAATTTTTGAAGGAAGAGCAGAATAGAATAGAAGGGGCAGATACAGGTCTTGAAAAGAGAAATCAAAACAGGGACCACTAAGAATGTTGCTCAACTACAATAAAAATGGTGGGTCAGGCAGAGGAGAAAAACAAAGGGCAATGAAGAGTACTGATGCATTTGAAAGGACTTGTTAAAGCAATACTATAAAAGTTTAAAAACTATAAAAACTGAGCCTTGAAGGCTCAGCTCAATTGACTCTCCCTTTGTAAAATCTACTCTCATTTCCCAGAACAAAATCCCTCTCTCTAAAATAATATAGTACTTCTGTTGTAGCCTTCATCAGGCCAAAGCTTCTCATGACTTAGCAGAAAGGGACTCTCATCTCCTGTAAGACCGGTCAATGTTGGGGTCATTTAACTCCTACAGTTCTTATTGACTAGTTGGAATAGAGGAAAAGGAATGAGTGAAGGCAAGAGACAATGACTTCAGTGTTTGTTATCTACTGTGTGTCTGATGTTGTGCTAAATACACAATATATATAATCTCATGGGAAAATTAAGCCTTGGAGAATTCAGTAATTTATCCAAGATCACTCAACAGATAAGGTGAAAATCAGAATTTGATTCTAATTCTTCTTCCAAATTTTGTACTGAGCTTAATAAGTGTTTGCTGGAAAAACAGTCTGTCATGGTATTTAGAAATGACTGAAAGAAGGCATTTCACAGTAGTTCTTAATTATTTCTAGGTCATGATTCTCTGCATGATTCTCTCCCATAAAATTGCACATATGCAAATACATACATCATTTTGCAAACCACTTTAGAAGGGCTGGCTTCAAAACCATGGAAGCCAAGGTAAGAAATTCAAAATTGCAGTCTTCCAAATCTTTCTACTACCTAACCCTCCCTTCTCTTTTTCACAATTTGAAAGTAATCAAACACAGAGGAAGTGAAAACATGAAGTTTAGTTGGGAGAAGAAAATGTTCAATTGTAATATAGTATTATACTTTGAAATGACACCTTGGGTTCAAACTCCAGCACTAAAAAATTTTTTTAAAAGTGTGTGTGTGTGTGGTGGGGGGTATGTATGTCACTTTATTGAGGAAATTTTTCTGGAAAATGAGTTTGGATTTTATGGGCTAAATAAAAATGTTTTAAATGATATTTATGTGGTTTTATTTATATCTTGTATTGTTTCTAAGATTTAAAAATGTTTATATGGTGAGAGAAAATATCACAAAATATCATGACCTATCTGTGGGGGAAAAGAGTCTTAAAATATAGCCAGGAATGAAGCTTATTTTAAAAATATGAATTTACAAAATGTTTAGATCCTTCCTCCCTCAAAGCTTTATGTTGTTGGTTTTTGTTTTTGTTTTTGTGGTCCCGGGGATCAAAGGAAGGACTGTATACATGCTAGGGAAGTGCTTTATCACCGAGCTACACCCGCTAGCCCATCCAGTAACTTATTTGATAATAAACTGACTTTGTGAGGCAGTTATAATCCATATTTTCCAGGTAAGAAAACAGGTTCAGGGAAAAATTTGAAAATCAAGTCCTTACTCTTTTCATTCTTTGCAGCAAATGACTATTACAGTTCTTAAATACAAATACATAATGCATTTCAGTTCTATGTGGTAATAACATACATTTGATGCCCTGACATTTTCACGAGGGAAGCATTATGACCTCCTTTACAGGTGGCTTTAGATCTGTAGGTTGGATAAACAGAAAACTAATGAATTTCAGACTTGGAATAGCACTTTTAAGTAATAAACTTTAGCACCACATCAAAGTGCTTAGAGGTCAATGATTTGTCACAATCACCCAGTCAGTGGTAAGGCCAATGCTAGAAGCCAGGCCTCCAGAGTTCTCTTCTTTACATTGAATATCTATTTCTATGATATTTGTTATATACTGTGTTGGTCAACTTCTTTTTTTTTTTTTTTTTTTTGTACTAGGGATTGAACCCAGGGGCATTTAACCACCAAGCTACATCCCCAGTCCTTTTTTATATTTTATTAGAGACAGGTTCTCACTGAGTTGCTGAGGCTGGCTTTGAACTCATATCTTCCTGCCTCAGCCTCCCGAGCTGCTGGGATTACAGAGAGGCATGCACAGCTGTTTGACTTTTCACAACTGTGATAAGTACCTGAGAAAAACAAATTAGGAAAGATTTATTTTGGCTCATGGTTTCACAGGTTTCCATCCATGGTCATTTAGCTCCATTGCTTTGGGCCTGAGGTGAGGCAGAACATCTTGGTACAAGGACATGGTACAGCAAAGCTGTTCACTTCATAGCACTGGGAAGCAGAGAGAGGGGAAGGAGCCAATGAATAGATACAGTTCTGAAGGGCACATCCAAAGTGACCACTTCTTCCAACCATGCCCATCAGCCTCTAGTTTCTACCATCTTCCAGTCCATTCTGGACTGATGAAAGGATTAATATCAAAGGATTAATCCACTGATTAGAACAGAGTCTTCACAATCCAATCACTTCCCTGAAACGACACCTCTGAACATTGTTTCAGACCAAGTCTTCAACAGATGAATCTTTGAGGAAATACTTGATATCCAAATAATAATATATAATCTATTTTGACTTTCTTTCCCTTCACACTTTCCCTTGTGGCTACTAGGTAAAATTCCATATATGTATTAAGGAGGCAAGGCTAGATTAATGGCCTGGCATAAGGGACTTCTCCAGCAAGACATCTCTTTGAACAACAGGGGAATGTTCTTGGTTCCTAAAGATGGAAGGCTTATGTAACATCCTGGGAGTTGTCCTATTAAGCCTGCGGTGGTAAAGGCCATTCCTCTGAGAATAAGAACTTGGGTATTTTATCCATCATACAGGGAAAACCTGGGTGAAGCCACTCAAGAAAGGAAAAACAGCCTATGGAACCTGAAGTCTTGGACACAGACCTCCTCTGCTCCAATCTAAAGACAAGTTAACTTGATTATGCAATTTTAGGTTAACTTTTCATGTCAAATTCTTGTGTCCTGCCTGGATATTTTGCAGTCTGAGGCAGAAGGAATTAAGTTGAGACCAGCCTGGATACCTTATGAAGACTGTCTCAAATTAAAAAAAAAAAAAATTTGAAAAAGGATTGGAGATGCTGCTCAGTGGTAGAACACTCGTTTGGCATACAGGAGGCCCTGGGTTCAATCCACAATCCCACAAATAAAAAAATTTTAAAAATACATATTACTATGTTCTATCACTAAATCTTTAGTTAATTCCCTTCCAAATATTCCAGAAAAACCTTGTGAGTTCACACTTGGCAAGCCATCCAACCATTCAGGAACCAACCACAGCCAGCCCAACACAGTGGTGTCAGTAGTAATCACTGAGATCAGTAAGGAGAGATCCCTAGTGGGAAAAGAGTATATTAGGCAACAAGAACCAGGGCCACTGAATTCCAGTCACTTCTCTCCCATCAATGATTCTCTTTCCATTGCCAACAGCAAATGTTAGTAAATTAGCTTCTTTATGAAACTTCAGATGTTAGCAAATTAATTTCTTTAAGCAACTTGAAATTTCCTAAATGGATCCATGAATCTTTGTTCTTCACGCTCAAACTTTGAAAAGACTTTTGTCCATTTGATACTCTTATTTAGCATTCATATTTCTGAATGAATGATTCATAATTCAAATACAATCTACTCTAGGTAATCTTTGCTGGTAATCTTTTTTGTCACCTAACCCAAACCTGTCTTTCCTCCAACCCTCCCTACCCTTTTCCCCATTTTGGCTGTGTTGGGGATCTAAGGGCCTTGGCATGCTAGGCAATGGCTCTACCACTAAGCTACGCCCCTATTCCCCAAACCTGGGCTTCTTAAAATGTGTGTCTTCAATTGCTATGCCTAGGAGTGCATGAAACAGTATGCATTGGTACATTAGTTGAATGAATGTCATTTTGCTTTTTCCTTTAACAGTTTTCAGTAGATAATTCATGAACCCTGCAAAAAGATTCAAACTGCACAAAAAATTCAGTGTAAAGTATAATTTCCTCCCCTTCTCATCTCTTCCCTTAGTCACTATTTCCCCTCCAAAATTTATTATGCACATATGGGTATTTAAGTGTATTCCTGTTATTCTTTTATACATGGTAAACAAAAATTGGGCTGAGATGCAGCTCCGGGTAAGAGTGCTTGCCTAGCTTTCCTGAGTAAAGAAGCCCTGGGTTCAATACTCAGCACTGCAAAACAAAAGCAAAAAATAAAAACACCCATATTCATATAAAATAACATATATGTTATATGCACATGTACATAAACTGTGTGTGTGTGTGTGTGTATGCTTTAAAATGTTAGGTGCTGCGGGGGTGGGGGGCTCCCCTAGCACATGCAAGGCCCCTGGGTTCAATCCTTAGCACCACATAAAAATAAATAAAATAAAGGTATTGTGTCCAAATACAACTAAAAAAATAAATATTAAAAAAATGTTAGGCACGTCTTATATATTTATATACAAGAGTCGCTCTGTATTCACGTAAGACAAATCAGGTTTATTTTTAAAAATTGAGACAGTGTAGTATTTCATGGAAAGGATGTACAACTTACTTCCATCTCTGGTTTATAGTTTCCAATTTACAAAAACTACGTTCATTACTACTCTCAAGGCCTACAAACAGAAATATCATCGCCCCTCACCCCACTGTCAGTGGCTCCCACATTATCAAATATCTTTTCACCATCTCAGGGCAGGACCATCCCAGGGCAGGGTCCTGAACCCAACCGAACGTCACCCCGGCCTTCCCACAAAGTGCCCGCGCCTCACCGAAGGGCAGAAGGCTAGTCGCCCGCGCGCGGATTACGACGGAGCCGAACAACCCCCACCCCCGCCGCGGCTCCGGCCCCAGC